ACCGGCATTTATTATCGGCCCATTACCGGCATTTATTATCGGCCCATTACCGGCATTTATTATCGGCCCATTACCGGCATTTAATATCGGCCTAAAACTGAGTCATTATCCTCTATGAATATACTTTTATTCAATGTTGTTGATATGGACTTTTCCAATGTCGCGCATGTGTGGAACGGTAATAATTTATCTAATTAATAGAATTTAAGATTATAACGTTCAAATTTTAGTATTTTTTCGTTCTTATGTAATTTTTTTATCGCTCATGGACAGTGATGAACACACACACACACAATTTACTTGAGATTATGATACAATTTTACTTATGAGAAACGTAGATAGTCTAGTGGCCAGACAAAGAACAAACTGATATTTTTAAGTATTTGTATTGAAATAATATGAGTCTACGCTTCGTAGTATGCAGTCGCATAGAACACATACATTTATTACACTTAGTAGCCAGGAGTTGGGTCTACGAAGCACCCCATAAAGAAGAGACCGAGATAATAAGATACAAATGCATCTTCTATCTCATTCTCTCTTATGCTAAATCCTATAGATATATACATGTTTGTCTCTTTTTAGTATCGTAGCCGTTTCTATCGTTTCATTGCCGTTACCATGAATTTTCATTCGCTTTTTTCAAATCACCATCATTCTAAAGAAGTTTTCACTTTAAAAAAAGAAAAATAAAAACAAAAAATCCGAAAAGATGAGAAAATCGAGAGATTAAAAATATTCGAGAGAGAGAACTCTCACGAAGCTTTCTTTTTTCTAGGTGCATTACTAATACCGTCGCGAGTTACACATAAAGTCGTTGCTAGCGGCCATTAGAGTGAAAAAGAGAAATAAAGAAAATAAAAGTTGAGTGAGAGAGGGAGAGAGAGAGAGAGAGTGAGAGAGAGAGAGAGAGGAAGATGGAAGGAGTAATAGAGAAAAGGGGGATGAGTTAAATTTTTTCTTGAGGGAGGGGTTGAAACGCGCAGGGTAGTTTCAGATGGCACGAGCACCACGAACACGTGGTAGAATCTACGTAGATGTCGCCCCATAGGTTGCAAGCTTTCAAACTCACCAATGCAGCCAGTCCGCGGTCGTCTCTGCTCCGCGATACGCGACTTTCGAAGTTCGTGTTTCGAATTAACAAAATATATCTAACGATTTTTCTTCGTACTATAATTCTATGAAGATCGTTGGACGTTACCTTTTCAGGGTAAGTTCAATTAGGCAATGATTTTTTTCATTATACCAGTTTTTTACATGGTCTACATTTACAGTTCGTTTTTTTTTTTTTCGTAACTTAAATTCAAATGTTAGAAAATAAAAGAAAAGAAAATGAAAATATTTCAATTATTTTCTCATAAATTCATTCGCACGTTCTTAGTTATCTCGTGATTTAAGGGTTGTTTATTGATTTACCTTTTCTTTTTTTTTTTTTTTGAAGATGGGATCTATAGAATTTCCGATCGAAGTACTCGTTCGAAGGACGAGTGTCGTCTATTCATTTAATTGAAAACGTATAAGAAACGTGTTTATATGTTTTCAAGAATCGATAGAGAATCAGAAAAAGGGTGAGAGAATATGAGAAAAGAAGGTTTTAACAGGGCCGAGGAAAAGCTTGCCTAATTACAAGACTTCCTTTTTGTTCGTTTTTACGAGTCGTTATGCGGTAGCTAATTAGTTTCCTGAACGTCACTGGAAAAAAAATGTCAATTGTCGCACTTATATTCGGCAGATACCTTAAACACGCGATAATTATGACTTGTAAGTACTAACGTGTTTTTCAAGTATGTTTATTCACATATGTGTGTGTGTATATATGTGAGAGAGTGTGTGTGTGTGGTCATATAGTAATTTTCGTGAGAAAAAGGAGCGTTAACGCGAATACATTAAAACGTTTCGAGTCTCGAAATAAACGTAATCCTGCTACTACGAATAAAAGCTCAAAGCACATTTTTTCCTTTTTCTCCAATTTTCATTTTCTTTCCTTTTTTTTTTCCTTTCTCTCCTTCTTTCTTTCCGTTTCTTTATTTTGTTCTTTTATGTGACACTATAACCAGCACACGCGTGTCCTTGTTTGAATGGTGTTTTAAACACTTTTGTAAAATGTTACATAATGTTAACGATTAGGGGGTTGACCGTCGAAACAAAAGCGTAATAGTAGTAGTTGTAACTTGTAGTAGAATTATTCGTTATATAGTTTTGTTGCTTTCCTCATCGCTGGCGTTGTTTCACTTTTGCTTGTTCTATCATTTTGTCGCGTATTTTTTTTTTTCTCGTTTTAATATTAAATGCGTACTGAATGGGCACACCGTTAGCCACCTTTCGACATTCTCTCTTTCTCTCTCTCTCTTTCTCTCAAATCTTTCGGATTTACACTCGACGAGTGTTTTTGAAAGCGTTTGTAAAATTATTCACCTTTTCATACTGGTTCGTGATATAAATCTCACTCGTGGAGTTGGGTGCTACGACGAAAGACTAATGAGAACGCGCTTAATTTTTTAAGTGTGATACGTCGACCTCCACGTCATTGCTAGTCTCAACATCGGTTATGATATATTGGAAGAAAACGAGAGAGAAAGAAACAAAAAACAAAAAAAAAAGAAACAAATTAGGAATAAATATAATCCTTCATAGAAGAGCTGTCAGTCACATGGGTAATATGATATTTAGATTAGATGAAAAAAAAAAAATATATAATTATAATTAAAAGAACGTGAAAATACAAGGAAAGATTTGTAATCTTGTTAGCGAGCTTCGTTAAAAAATATTGCGTGCAATCACCTTCTTGTGGAATAAATATAATATATATATAAACACACATAATATAAATGAAAATAAAATTTCAAATTAATATGACAGTGATAGAAATATTCTACTCGTGTCGAACGTAAAATGAGGTCAATTAATTATACTACTCGTTATGATTCGAATTTTCCGTTACTCGATTTACCTCTTAAAACAAACACCATTACCGTATTGTACCTATCGAAACACGCATCCATGATAAGCTTGATTTCGTCAAGCGTTAAAACGAATTTTGAAATAATCAAAAAGCAGACTAATATCATCGAGATATTCATCACTCGTATCCACTATTAAAGTACGAATTATTAGAATTATAAGCACGAATCGGACGGATATGATGACGACGGATTGGGGAAGTTAAATTCGGACCAATGATTTGGTGTCAAATTTGCTTTTGGTGCTTTATTGAAATAGTACCATTCGTAACAACGTCGTTATTATCATCGTTAAGCTCGTTTCTGGGGGAAAAAATATGAGAGATTTTTGAGTATCCATTAATTATGTAAAATAAAATGAGAGATAAATAGATAGATAGATAGATTAAAATGATTTTTCATTGTATTATCGTTGTTAAGCTCTATAAATTAGATGATACGATAAAATACGATCTTTGCGGATGATATTAGATTGAATTTCCCGTAGTTAATCGTTTTCAAATAGCATAGGTATGAATCAATTACAAGATATAATACCAGATATTTTTCCATAAATTAATGTAATCGTAATAAACGTAAAGAAAGATGGAATAACAACGAGATATCGATTTTGTGGTTCAAATGAAAAGAGAGAAATAGAGAAAAAAAGAAATATCGAACGTGTAAAATTACATTCATTACGTCACAAAGGTGGGAATAATCTTTCTCTCTTTCTCAGTCTCGATTTGACTTCGATTCGTTCGTCGAATTTCGTAACAAGATGAACTTAAAATGAGAATAGAGAGAATCGAATGGTTCAAACGATGATCACTAAACGAATAGAAATTGTAGTAGCCGCATACTCTGTTCATGAGAAAACTGACCAATGAGAGACATTTTTTTTCCTAACATTTTTGACTTTAGTAATACTATCGTACTAAACTATTGCTGCTGCTGTTGCTGCTGTTGTTACTACTGCTGCTGCACCTGCTTGCAATATACATAATGCTAATTGTCCCTTTAACAAAGCTTCGACGCCCTTCGCAAAACTACGCAAGCTCGAGGTTACCGACCTAAGTATGGATCTAACTTTCTTTTTTATTATTTGTTTTATTTTCTCTCTTTTCTTTTCTTTCTCTTTTTCCTTTTTTTCTTTATCGCCCCTTTTCATTTATTCCAATTTCTTTCTTACTTAAATATTGTATTTCTTTTCTTGTTAAAATTATTCAAGAATTTTCATCTCAAGATAAAGTTGATCAATGATTTTTTTTTTTTTATTATTTCATAGATCTTGATGTTCAGTAGAAGACGTTCGGAAAAAGAATGATTTCTCTTGACTCATAAAATATGAAGATTGAAACACAGAATTCATTGTTGAGTAGGTACAGTTAACTAATTCTTCAAGTTGTACGAAAACTAAGCTTTGAAAGGCGTTTAATTATTGATAATATGTACTCCCCTTTCTCGAAACGTGGTGTAACTATCGAAATACTTTAGTTGTCAGTATGTTTTAAGAGAATACGAAACTTCACGCTTGCTTACTAAACGTATAAAGCATTCCTAATTTCACTGCACACGATTATGAATATCCATATAATTACGTATACGTGTGTGTATGTGTCTTTGACCAAAATGAAAAAAAAAAAAAAAAAAACATATTTCGTGCTTTTAAGTAGAAAATTATTATACGAATAAAAATTCATTTGAAAATAAACTTGTCACGTATAACATTTGATATTTTTAATAAATAAATAAATCATATTATTTTAATTTTCAATTAAGAAAATTTTATATCAGTCTAATTCTACTGAAAACACACACAAACAATTCACATTATATTAATTAGAATATAAATAAACTTCATTAATTTTCATGTAATTGAGAAAACTATTTCTTGTTAACACGTTACATTTCACACGTATCGTATTAGACTAAAAGATAAATCGAGTATCGATACTATTATCTATTTATCTTTATGTTAGTAGGATACCAACACCAACATATAGTGAAAATGAACGGGCACGCTCGTACATCTTGAATAACGAACGATCCTAACGATAATTGATTCTGCGTGCCCTGTCGAATAATGCTTTACACAATCGACGATCCATCTTATACCGTGCTAGCTTGTAGACGATATACCTGGAACGGATGCCGTAAGCCACGTCCATTCGATTCATCCATCGTAAACATACACGATTAGGAACGATCGACGCGATGTTAGTTCCCTTTAGATGACCGTCAATAGCATTGGCTTGCAATATCATCGACTCGTACTACTTGATAACAACCGCAAACACATCTTGCTTCATTCGGGTGTTTATTGTTCCTATACAACACCTCTTCTCACCTCATTTTGATTATCATTTCTAACTATATATTATAGTTAATTATTTTATTTTATTTTTATGAAATAATATTTATAAAATGTTAATAAATGGAACATACAAATGAGAAACTTGTTATAGTCGATGAGTGATAAATTATTTTCTATTTTAATCAGTTATAGTAAATTATCAAATGGAACATTAGAATTCATTTTATGTATTTTTAATAATAATAATTGTATTTAATATTAAGGTATTATTTGTTATATAAATATTATTTTAAATTCTATATATCTCTAATGTGTTATTTAAATTGTTCAATTTTACACAAATATATTATCACTAGTAAATTTAAAATTGAAAACACATTTATTTGATTAACATATAAAATTAATATTTAATAAATTTGAATTAAATTTGATATTGTTTATATTTAACACGAGAAGGTTTGGTCGACTCGGCTATGAGATAATATTAAAGCGAATCTGTGCAGTAATGCGGATTGATTATATCGACTCAGAAGCTACAGAATGTGGATATGATGTATCGCTATGAAAGGGACACGGAATTCACCTCATTTCCGCCATCTTTTGCGCCTTGTAATCAATCCTCACCACCAATGTAAACCATATCGAACATCAACATCTATCCTCCAAATCTTTGATATAACATTTTCTGACTTAGGAATATTCGTGACACACGATAATTCAATCGAATTGATAAAATGATCTACCACGATCGAGATTATTGTTAACAAATCAAGTATTCTATCATTTTTTTAATAAATATAAAATATCTAAGATCACACACAACAAATTACTGATTAAAAATAAAATGTACGCACACAAAAAGAATTTCTACTTACGAATACGTAATTTACTAAATATTTATATTTTTAATATCATATTTATTATATTTATTATAATATTTTTTATAATTTTTAA